ATTTTCGGTACCTTAAATATCTTTTATTTCTTATTATTTTATTTTAACATTACTGAGAGATAAATTTTTTTGTTATAAAACTAAGAAAACAATATAAGAGAATTGAGGAAGAGTCAAAACTCTTTTGTAATTTATTGAGATCATATGTATAAGATGAATAAAGCCACTTAGCCACATTGAAAAACAGGGAGTTAAGTGACAGATTGATGTGTCAAAAATGATTGGATATTTTTGTTTTAATTTTTCAAATTGTCTAATCGTGCATCAACACATGTTCCATCTGAATTTGAGTTTGGATTTGAGTCTGAATGTGTAGCATGATTGAAGATTATATAATTAGGGTTGTTAGAATACAATTGTCATTTGCAAATACTGTTTAGTTTACGACACTTCCCTTTAAATAACTAATTATATAATATATGCCTTCATTAAAAATATTGTTTAGCAAAAATTTGGTGTGATGAAAATACCAAATGGAGAAAAGAGTACAAAAAACTTGGAAAAATAAAGTTATGATCCGATAAAAACTTGTCATGAAAATCTATTGGGACAAAATCTAAGTGAAGAGCAAGAGTACAGTTATTCCTCCAAATTTCAATAAATGAAAATTATTATATCAAGCATCCATATCTTGTGCACCAAAGTTTTCAATGTCATAATTTGGGGAAATGTATTTCATGTTATCTTTTTATAGCTACACATGACTAGATAAACTGCTTGATGTGAATCAAATAACACACTACATCATCATAAGCAACTAAACTTGAATCTTGAACTATTAGAAAGATATAATAGTGCCTATATTGCACTAAGATGTTGTACTCTTCAGTACCAATAAAATGATCATGTTTTTGTTACAAGTGAACAAATAACCATTGGGTATCAATTTTAATGTGTCATTGTTCATATGAAATCCTTTCAAGGCTTTTTACATGTAAGTTGAGTGATGATCAAGAATTCAATTTGCAAAATACTCAACCTACAAACCGAAATGAAACTTAATTTTAAGATCTTTCATCATGAGTTATTTTAAGCAATCAACCACCTTTGGAAGCTCTCAAAAGTTTCAACAATGTTTAAATCATCAACTTCTACAATAATGGAAAGTTCAAATATGGATTCCTTTATAAAAATATGGCTTATATCTTTCCAACAGATATGCATTAAGACAATTATACTTCATACATTCAAATAGCAAAGTATCTCTATATTTTGATCGAATAAGTTTCGCAAAAACTTCCATATATGCTTCAGACATTTTAAATCCTCAAAAGATTTATATGAGTATCAAATCATATAAGTTTGTTATAACCATATTCATTGACACTTATCATACTTTCATGCATTGTCAAGTTAATAAAATATTAGATATGGATTCACCACATTATATAACATCATTTCATATTCAATGCTAGTCTTTGAAAATTTCTTTTTGTAACAACTTGTGTTGAAGACTATGTTATTTAATTTTCTTTTTTGCATAAATAACTATTGGTAATTTCCTGGCTTTATAAATTTTTAAGTGTTTGGATTGCAGTTCCTAACATATAAAATCTACCTAGATTGCATCTTCCTAGCTTGAACAAATATTATAACGTCAACAATCTTCGATGAGTTTTGATCCAAACATCCTTGCTTTCATTCACTATAGAGCTCTACTGTTAAGTTTTTGTTACTCGGTTTGTTTATGGGGCAAGTCGAGCCGACAAGCAACTCGTCCAACTTAATACTCCTAAAATTATGTGATACAAAAATCAAGTTTTTTTCCAATAATGCATACAAACACACATGGATAGTATTTAGAACTTTTCCTTCAAAGAATGATGTCCACATCGTTGGGTTTAGTCATGCTCAATAACATAGTCCAAAGTTCCCATATGTTTTCTAGAATTTAGTATTATACAACTCTGAGTTATAAAACATGCTCGGATCGATTGATTAGACTAGAAATCTAGCGACTCAGGCTCTTAATCAAGCTGGGTAGCTTGATTAGATATTCATACTCCTTAGATAATCTTAATTGCCATATTCTATTAGAACTAATGAAATCTCGTGGAGTTTTTCATCAAAAGTATTGAATTTAAATAAAATAATAATAAACGGGATGAGGTTGGGCTCTTGTTACCTGTCCCGGGGCGACGTCCCCCACTTCATCCCTGACCTGAATACCCGATTAAGCAGATAATATCCGCCATTTTCGGAGCGGGGCCCACGGGACGGGTATCAGGTTTGACTGTTTTTTTTTTTTTTTTTTTGGGCCACCCTTAAACCAGTGCAAGCAAATAAGCTATTGATGAAAAGAACATTATCGTCTAATAAGAAAGCCTAATGAATGTGAAAGTCTCCTACGACATTCGATTTAGTTGAAGTTTCCACAAAATTTGAATAAAATCATCATCATCATCGTTATAAAGTGCTCTATTAATTCATTTAATTGCGCAACTTCAATTTAAACTATTACTAACAAATTGAGCACTTACTTGACCTTCATTTCTTAAAGTTCATTTTTTTTTAAACTCAATTTTAAACATACATTTCATGGAATTCAAAGCTTTATCAACTTTTCAACTAAATAGTTCATCAACTTTTATTAAAATTTATGAAAATATTATTTTTAGCAACCAAACAGGGGCCATAAGCCTTGTGGACATAAATTGTTGGCCACCTATTCGATTGACATACTCTCAAAAATAAACTAGACTTCTTTAGCAACATTACCTAATTGACTAATTTGCATGTTGATCTTGCGAGCTAAAAAACTTAATATAAGTAGCAAGTAATGTTTAAAAAAATTGTTTCATTCAAAACCAATTAGGGTCTAAATTTAAAAATAAAAAATAAAAAAAGTTAGGGTATACACATTCTTATAGAGTGTGCTAAAGGATTATCATTGAATGGTAACCGTCCTCTTTTCCACTTTTGATCTTCGAATCTTCAAGAGTATTATCTAAAGGTAATTACACAATTACACGTTTACGAGGGCTCACAAGTCAAGATGATATGGAGTAACCAACCCTCAATGTTGACCCCACATGTAAAGATCCACTTGCCCTTGTTCCCCACCATGCCTAACTCTACATTTAGTCTTGATTAAGAAAAAAATATTCCATACCACCCCATATTCGGTAGAACAATGATATATTTCTACTTTGTTGACTAATGGCACGTAAATGTCACATGAACTCATGCTTACCATCAATTGTGCTAAATAACATTAATCTTGAAATTATGGAACTCAAAATTAAATAAAAATTGATAAATTAAGGGTGAATATCTTGTCGATAAGAATATCCACAATTGGAAGTAAGAAGAAAAAACCCTTCTTTCTTCCATTCACAAAAATATTCTGGCAAAAAAACATTTTAATCATTTACCGCTGAAAATACAAATCTTGGTCCCTATTTATTCCCATTTTTGAGATAAAATGCATTATGGAATAGTAAATTTTTGAAGAATGTGTGGTTAGAATATAAGAGAAAGTTTTTAAATACGTGTATAATTATTTTATAAAAAAATATGTGGTTGAAAATGAATTTTGAAAAAATACATTCTTCAAAAAATGGGAATCAAACAGGGGCTTGAATTACATTCACAGAATGAAGATTATTGTTTTTCTTTTAAAAAAAATAATAATAAATTGAAATCTTTGGACAGACCACAGCAAACCAATTGGGCTAGCCCCGTTTGGCCCCCATTTTGAAGAAATGAAAATGGGTGGAGTAGTTTTTTATAAAAAATAAGTGATTGAAAAAGAAAAAAATAATTTTGGTTTACGTGTAATATTATTTTATGAAAGATTGTGTTGTTGAAAATAGGAGAGAAAAAAATAAAATAAAATTGAATGGCAATTAATGTGGGTCAAATGCGGAATACTATATTCCTTAGCATCCATTTGACGGACATTAAAAAGAGTTTTTTTTGAGAAAAATGAGTTTCGAAATTTAAACTTATGGGTAAAATATTTTATTATGAAAATGTATGATTAAAATTGAATTTGAAAAGAAGAAAATTTTTAAAACAGGGGCTATTGTTGGTGTTTGATCTCTAAGTGTTATCTCGTTCTCACTTTAAAAATGATTAAAGGGGCTTAAATTTGATTTCTTCAAATCACACAGAGATCGAATCATAGGACCCATCCAAAGAGAGCGATCATAGGCATGCGTTACCTGATAATGTCATCATGATCAATGAAGGGATATGTTTCTCAATGACGATAGCACCTTCATAACCGCTAACCAAAGATAGACAAGTGTCACGTCTGACGTCAACAACGTCATACTCACCAATCAGAAGAAAGCAATGATTGCCTAGGACAAATGTAATGATGACCCAAATCACAAGGTACGGCCTAGATATCATGATGATCTGAATTAATCGAGCTCCTCAACCAATCAAATCTTTTCAAAATGGTCGGTGATACACTAAGCGAAGTAAAAACTTTGAAACTTGATAATATTGAAGTCAACAATATCCTGTTGAGAGACCTATAAGAAGAGGCATTGATCCCCTACAAAAGGCAGGATGAGCAAGGATTCTTCTATAACATGTAATTAAAACACTTCTTAATAAGAATTTCCTTTCTTTCTTTCTTTTTTTCACAATATTTCATCAAATTAAACATCATTATTTTGCGAAATTTCTCTTAAGTTAATCTATAATTGTTGCGTCAATTTTAATGATCAATACTTAACTTTTATTTATTATAACATTTATATCCTTAGCTTTTAAATCACAATCTTTATATTTGCCTCTCACTGACTAGTAAATTATATGTTCAATTATGATTTTTAGTTCAAAATAATTGATAAAATACTTCAAAACTAATGAAAAATATTTAATTGTAATATTTTATTTTCTTTTTAGCTTATTTAAAGCAAGGTAGATAATTTTTTATTTTTTTATTTTTATTTCATTCTAACCAAATTTTTGGACAGAAAATATAAATACAACTAAGTTTTATAAATCTAAGAATAAGAATACAGTGAAAAAGATATGTATAATAATTAAAAATTTTGAGTTTTTTATGCAATTAAAATGTGGTGATACTAAAAGATGCAATGCGAATATATTTTCTCTACAAAATAAAATTGTACTTAATTTTTTGTCCATTTTGCCCTTGGATTCGATACAATCATACACGAATGTCGGATTGATCCCTACAGACATTTACCATGACCGCTGTGATTCTCGAACTCGAATTTGCAATCTCCAATAGAAATTTATTTTCTACGGCAAAAATCCAACTGAACTCGAAGCAGCAAAGCGATCTTGTCTAGACTTGAGCTCAGTTTCAGCTGGACCCGTGTTGGCATCGCCGGCGCCGGAGATCTCCGGTATCTTGTCGCATTTACGACACGAAGCCGCGGCAAGAATCTTCCGACAAGAAGGGCACGACGAGTGGGATCCCAGCCACTTGTCTATACAAAGAACATGGAACCCATGGCCGCACTCCGGCAACATCCTGATATCATCTCCATCTACATACTCCGCCAAACATATGGCGCAATCCGCCAACGCCGCCCCATCCACGGCATAGGAATTATATGTAAACTTGGGGAATGACTGCAGCACCTTCTTCTTCAAACCTTTATTGGCCGATATCTGTCCTCCTAAGCGACTGTTCCCTTCAGCTCCACCGCGACGAAGCCAGGCACACCGAGCTACCGCAATTAGGCCCACCACAGAGATTAGGGCGCATAACAAAGACGCAAGGATGACCACGAAATCTGACTCTGCTGCGGCAGACTCCGGTGGCTCCGTCGCGATCTGAACAGGAGTAGAGGGCGGCTTCACTGCTGATATTGGAGGACTAATCATACTTTAGATGTCTTGTCCAAAAGTAAAAATGTGATAAATAATTCGTGGTGTATAGCTTCTGTTTAATATCGTGTCAATGATTAAATTGTGTTTATCCTCTTCGGTGGGATTAAGCCATTGTTTGAGCCCAATTTTTATCCAGATACATTCTTTAATGGTGATTTGATATCACTTTAATTACATATTTTTCAATGAGGGATACTTCCTGTCTTGAGGACCTTGGTGTTTGGTGTTGAAGATACAAAAGGTGAAACAATATGCCTCAGAAATTTGATAAGGAAGCAAGTCAGGGAGGAGTCCAGTCTGTGATCGAGCGATATAAGGAGCAGCATACCTCTCCACGAATAGATGGACAGAATCAGAGCGGTCATAGTCGTTATGAACTAATGACAAAGTTGAGTCCTCGAACTATGCGTGTATTACTTGGAGAACTCACACAGGATGTCGTTGAACAGGTAAATCTACGAAATATTCATAATATGGAAAGATTTACCCAGAATGGGAATGCACATTATGATAACATGGCCAAATAACTGAATACTTTGAATGAAATAATGAATAAGTTAGTAGGCCAAATTTGTAAGCCAGTTGTACCTCTTGCAAATCACTTCCAAGTTAGGACAATTGTGGGACATAATCCCCTAGTCCTAAGTCCAAATCAAGGGGTAGAACCACCTTTTGGTCCCTCTACTTCAAACCAGGGGATGGTGTAATGCCAAATCAGAATAATTGGCAATGGTACATCTAACTTGGGGTAACCTAAATGTAAGAGACAATGTCCTAAATAATGGACAGAATACCCCACGTGTTAATGATGGAATAAATATTCAGGCTAATGATAACAATGGCCCAAATCATGGCAACTTTGTTGCCAACCAAGGACCAAATATCAGGCCTCAAACAAATCAACCAGTCAACCAACCTGTAGGAATTTCATATGACCCCAACGCCATGTTGAGGAAGCAAATTATGGAAATAGTACAGGATCAGATGGCTTTTGGGGTACGTCCTGTCATTAGGCCAACTTACACAAAGTCATATTCTGATTGGGTATACCAAGCTTATCCATGGCATAGAGGGTATAAAATGCCAGAATTCTCACTATTTACCGGTTTAGAAGAGGTGTCTACTTTAGAACACATAGAGCGATTCATACTGTAAAGTGGTGACGTAATTGATTACCATAAAATGAGGTTGTTCCCTAGTTCATTAACAGGAGTAGCTTTCTCCTGGTTCATCAATTTGCCAGCGAACTGTTCAAACATGGCAACAATTGGAGCAATTGTTCCACGCTCAGTTTTATAAGGTCGAGTCCAAAGTTACTTTGACCGATTTGGCGAATCTACGTCAAATGCCAAACGAATGGGCAGAAGATTTCCTTCAAAGATTCAAGATAGCAAGAAGTAAATATTTTGTACCTTTGCCCGAAAAGGAGTTTGTCAAAATCGCTCAAGGTTGTTTAAAGTTTGATTTGAAAAAGAAGTTCCAAGAAAAGGAATTTCCCGACCTTTTCCAATTGAGCGCGAACGTGATTAGGCATGAACGATAAATAAGAGAAGAAGAGCAAATGAAAAATTTTAGCAAAAGGACTTATTATAGAGACCCAAATTTTGATGTTCATACCATTAATGATGAGTATTACAATCAAACCGAAATGTGTTTGGCCAAACTAATCAAAGGAGACACGTATACTTGTCCTATAATAGCTAAGCCTAGACCGTCAAACAAGGATGAGCCTATAAAAGATGAAAACAAAAAGGCTAAAACGTTCTCGTTCGATGTAATCAAAACTGACCTTATATTTGATAAACTATATAAGGATAAGTAGATAAAATTGAGCGATAAACATAAATTGCCAAACCTTGAACAAGTTAAGGGTAAAAAATATTGTAAGTAGTATAATGCATGATCACATTTGACTAATAACTATTTGGTTTTTCGTCATGTGTTACAGGATGCCATTGAATCAGGACGAATTTTGTTTGAGGATAAGAGAAAGATGGTAGTGGATGAAAACCCTTTTCCACGGCCACTTGGGGTGAACATGGTGACGATTGGTTTCAAAAATAAGTTGTCAAAATTCAAGTTAGTTATAGATGACGGGGAAGAGGACCCTGGACCACATCCTAGTATTTTTGAACGTATCAAAGGGAAAGAGCCTGAAAAGGATGAAGACGTCCTGTGTACAAGATGTAAAAGAGAAGTGAATGGGAATACAGAAAAATCAGGGACATAGCAGCATCACCGTCGCCCTAATTTTTTCCCAAATGCTCAGCCTGGTAGAGGGCGAGGTAAATCATTCTATAGGGAATCGCCTTTTGAGAGGCAGTTCAGGCCAGTGAATAATGGGAGATCATTCAGGCCGTAGCCTCGCCAACCAAATGTATGGCATTCGTTCCAGTATAATGTAGGAAATGTAATACCCTTCAACGAGATGACTAGAACCTAACAAAGGCGTTTTTAACGGAACTATGGACGAATGATGAGGCAACAACAGGGAGTGCCACGTACTAAGGCGCCTAAGATACTCGAGGTAGCCAATCAAAATATTCTCGAAGACAGTGAGGAGACTGGTACAGGCGAATCGATGAAAGAATTGCCAGAAAGTTCTTCTAGGACGTCGAAGTTTGAGCGAGACAGAAGAGATGGAGAAGATCCAGATCAGTCCCTTACTATTCAGTTCAGTATGTTACCTCCTGTCATGGCTAATAACTATTTGCTAGCCAATGAGTTTAAGAATAAAGAGAAAGAAGAAGAGGGGGAGGATAACGAAGAAGAAGTATGCATGCTGGAATATGAAGAAGGTCAAACTTCTAGATGGGCCTACGATGATGAAGGAGATGATGGTATGACGGATATCAAAGAGGAAATTGATTTGGAAGCAGAAAGAAGAAAAAGAGAAGTATCGTATAATACTCTGTTGAAGCAACTACATCGAGAGGGGGTTCGTGAAGTGGACTTGTTGGGGGAACTGTCTGGGCGTTCTTTCGATTACTACGTGCTGTAATGGACGCCCAAAAGGAAAAGGAGAGTTCCTCGCTCTGAAAAGTATGGATCACCTCCAAGAATAATGCCTCCTCCCACAGATTGGGTAACTGAAAAAGAAGCATTAGAAAATAGTAAAAATGAAATGCAGGAAACGGAAGCTCAGTACGAAATGCTGTACGTTGACTTATCACAAAAGGATAACTGGACAGAGGACAAGCAGGAAGTGGAAATAGATGCTGCTAAAAAGGTTATTTTTAAGCAGCCAGCCATAAAGTTAACTAAATACTTGAGGCCATTGTACGTTAAAACTCTAGTTAACGGCATACCTGTGGCAAAAGTGTTTGTCGACAATGGAGCAGCTATAAACACCATTCCATCTAGGATGATGAGGAAATTTGCAAAGATAGAAAGCGATGTGATCCCAACAGAAGTCGTCCTTACGAGTTTCAATGGAGGAGCAACTTCAGTTAAAGGGGTTATGCCATTGGACATAACTATAGGGACAACTACTAGGACCACAGTCTTCTTCGTAATAGATGGTCCTACTAGTTACAATGTGTTATTAAGAATAGATTGGATACATGGAAGTCGCTGTATACCCTAATCGCTCCATCAATGCCTGGTTTTTTGGAATGACAAAGGCGAAATAGAAGTGGTGCAGACCGATCATAGACCTTTTGCCGCAGAAGCAAACTCAGTAGAAAGGTTCATGTACGAAGGAAATTATGGACCTGTCAGAGTAGTCCAAGATGGAGAAGAAACTCAAATTGTCGCGCAGAGTGAAGAGCCGTTTTCAGTGGAAGCACTCACTGAAATGTTCAGTCAGATGAGGCCAAACATAGTGGCCCTAGAAGGGCCAGTAACTGGCAAAAGAGTAATCAAGGAGTTTTAAATGAGTTGTAAGCAACAAAGGTAAATGACCGATATTCAGGCCTTCAAAGCCAAGTTAATGGCTTTCAATAAAGAATGCAAGGACAAGACGAAAGAAGAAGAAGCCTTGAAAGCATTGAGACTTTCAAGGCAAATTAGAATAGCCAGATATGTGAATTGGTTGTCCAATATCTTGCCAGTGCTAAAAAAGAATGGTAAACTAAGGATGTGCGTAGACTTTAGGAATTTAAACATAGCCACACCCAAAGATGAATATCCAATGCCCACAGTAGACTCTCTACTAGACTCAACTACCGGACACGTAATGTATTCCTTCATGGATGGGTATTCAGGATACAATTAAATTTATATAGTTGAGGAAGATATACACAAAACTGCCTTTAGATGCCCTAGATCTCTAGGATGCTTTGAATGGGTAATTATGCCTTTCGGCCTGAAAAATGCTGGAGCAACTTATCAAAGGGCGATGAACCTGATTTTTGATGATATGATAGGCAAGTTTGTTGAGGTGTATGTAGATGATATAGTGGTCAAATCCATTAAAGAAGAGGGCCATTTTGAACAATTGAGATGTTCATTTGAGCGAATGAAGCAATATAAACTAAAATTGAATCCCTTGAAATGTGCATTTGGTGTTAATGCAGGAAACTTCCTTGGTTTCTTAGTACACAAAAGGGGGATTGAACTTGATAAAAAAAAAAAAAAGAAAAGCGAAGGCTATTTTAGAGGCCAAACCACCTAACAACAAAAAAGAATTGCAAAGGTTTCTAGGCTAAGTAAACTTCTTAAGACGCTTTATTTCTAACTGTGCAGGGCGAACTAAAACTTTTTCGCCACTTTTAAAGTTGAAAAATCAGGACGAATTCGTCTGGAAAGAAGAGCATCAAAAGGCTTTCGAAAGCCAAAGACATATTTATCAAGTCCATCAGTGTTGGTGTCACCAATCCAAGGACGGCCAATGAAAGTGTATGTATCGGCTGAAAAGAATCAATTGCTGGAATGATCGTGCAAAAAAGACCAATTTGGTGAAGAAAGGGCGATTTACTACTTGAGTAAACGGTTAACAAAATGTGAATGTAATTACTCTACCATTGAAAAATTATGTCTTGCATTGTATTTCACATGTACAAAATTAAGGGCTTATTTACGGCTCATAACCGTTTATTTGATTTCCAAAGTAAATTTGGTTAAGTATATGTTCTCTCACCCTATTTTACACCAAAGAATAG